CCACTCCCCCTACTTGTGTTCCTGCTCTCGCTGTCTCTCTCTGTCAAATAAATAAATAAAATCTTTAAAAAAAAAAAAATATTAGTGGAACCAATGAATGAATGGAAGCTCATTGACTGAATAAAGACAGTGGGCCCTTTCCAGCAGATGGAAATACGTAGAAACTCACCCCGCTCAAGATGTACCATGTTCACATTAAGGCAGGAAAACCCTGGAGACTGAGCTCTAAACTCATGAAATAATCTCTGGGAAATGGGACTCAGTTAGAGCAGTCATGTTATAAGCACAGCTTTTGATGAAAAGGCTGAGTGTAAACAAAGAAAATAATAGCATTTTAGCTGGAAATATTTTGTCAGATTCCTTAGATCACGTCAGAAAATAAAGAGCCAAGGTTTCTCTTACTTTTGAATCCCAGGAAATAATGATTAAATATTTGGTTCTGTGTAACTTGTAACAGAGTACAAAGTAGCACCCAACAGAAAGCTATAATTCGTTGCTAATGGAGAAAGCACTAACACAGCTATCCTTTAACATTCTAATATGCTAATATTCTTGACTCTGATCGCATATGCCCAAAGTCAATGTCACTCTCAGACTTGGGCAGCTGGAGCCTCAGTCCTGGGCCCCACACTGTGAACACCCCACTGCGGCCATCCTCTGGCTTCACTCACTCCACTGAGCAAAGAATGCATATGCCAAGGGGGCATGCCACATGGAACCCATGTCCCCTTCCAGACCACACTCTGAGGACTGGAAACCCAGAAGCTCCCTACTCCAGTGGCCCTAAAGGCCACTCCCAGGGCTGGCACGGCAGCTCCTGTCATCAATTCACACAGATGAGAGCTGACAGTTACACCGTGCTATCAGTTCCCACAAAGGACAGAAGGGCCAGTGCGTCCAGATGGAAAGGGAAGACAGTGGGCTGCAGACTGAGGGACCTCTATTTGTACTCTTGCCTTGGTCTCCAAATGTTAGGGGCAGGACTAGCCAAAAGAACATGCTGTCAGTACAAGAGGTGACCTGGATATCAGACTTGAGGTGTAGGCACTCTGCCCTAGTGTTTATCATTTTCTCCAATTTTTTAAATTATAAAAATGTCAAATAGTAAAGCAAATCCAGAAAGAAGTGGTATAGATTTCACCCATAAACCACTCTTTTTTTTTTTTTTCTTAAGATTTTATTTATTTGTTTTGGGGGTGGTGGGGAGCAGAGGGAGAGGGACAAGCAAACTGTGCTGAGCACGGAGCTGATGGACCTGAATCCCATATCCCTGAGATTGTGACCTGAGCTAAAATCAGGAGTCTGACCCTTAACCGACAAGCCACCCAGGCACCCCCACCCATAAACCATACTTAATTTATCAACTGTTCTCTGGTCTTATCTGTATGAATGCATACTATATAAAGTTATAAGGCACAGCATAAATATAACTGAGCATTTTCATTTTCATTTACCTTTACATAATCATACTTTCCAAATGGCTATGTTTTATAAATTTTTTCTAAGAGCTGCATAGCAATCTTCCATGTAACTTAATGTCATTAGCCTATCAATAGATATTTGGGTAATTTATTTTATTATAACGTAAGTAATATTGCACTCAACATCTTCCATATAGGCTTTGCACATTTTAATCAGGAAATAAACATATAAAATAAAATTTTTGCATTTTCATTACCAATGAAAAATACCATAAATGAAATTACTGGACCAAGGTACTTACATTTTTGTGGTTTTTGATTCCCAAGGTGCTTTCCAAAACGACTGACCAAATTATACTTTTCTCAGCAATGTATATAAATTTCACTATCCCACACCAACAATGAATAATCTTGCCAATGCGTTTTTGCTTATTACGTTGGTTATAAAATGGAAACTTGATGTGTTAATTTGCATCTGTTAGATTACTATGGTGGGAGACGAGGTGGCTGGAGCTGGTTGCATGATGACATGTTACCATGTTTACAAGCATACCAGAATGACGTACACTTTTGTCTCTCAGTATTATTTGATACACCACTCCCTGCTGGTATCAGTTTCCTGCAAATGATTTCAGCTGTTTTAATGCCTGGTCTAAGGCTGTGAAGCAGCCCTCACGGCAACCCTCCCAGAAGCCTCAAGCCCCAAACACCAAGCTCAGATATCAGTGGCAGACCAGAAACGAGGCTGCTCTTTTCCGAAACCACCCCACTAAAATGAAAACGCCATTTCAACGGGCAGAAGAGCAGCCGGACCTCACTGAGCAGACGAAATGTGCCCTGGGCTCGCAAATCCTTTCAAGGCTTTGTGTTCACCCATGCTTTGGTTTGAGTCCCAGATCTGCCTTTCACTGGTTGTAGGAGTCTGAACCGTGTATTTAATCTCTCGGAGTCTCACTTTCCTCCTCTGCAAAACAGGAATAATAATAAAACCTGCCCACCAGGATTTTTTTAAAGATCAAGTGAGATAATGCACATGAAGTGCTCAGTGCAGTGTGTGGAGCATTGTAGACGCTCAATAAAACGTTACCTGCTACTAGTGGGGCCCCTGGGTGGCTCAGTCAGTTAAGCATTTGCCTTCAGCTCAGGTCACGATCTTGGGGTCCTGGGACTGAGCCCCACATCGGGCTCCCTGCTCAGCGGGGAGTCTGCTCTCCCTCTGCCTCTGCCCCTCCCCCACTGTGCGTGTGCGTGCACACACACGCTCCCTTTCTCTCAAATAAATAAAATCTTTTTAAAAAATGATACCTGCACTATTATTAATAATAGTAGTAGCAGCAAATAGTTTGTTTTCACACATTAAAGTGGACCTGTGGTAGAGATTAAAAGATGAAGGAATGTTGCCTTAGCTCAAGGAGTTTTAGATTCCACCCAATCTCATCCATTCTTCATAATCTCTACCTACCTACTTATGTATCCGTATACAGATAGAAACATGTAGAAACATCCCTTAAAAAGGGACTGAAGGTAATTCGTGTAATTCACACAACAAAATCTATCTAGCCTTCAGCATAAGCCTGGGCTCTCATTGTCTGCGGAGCCCACGGACAAGCCTCACGTAAAGTGATATCCATCAGCTATCGCTGTCAGGCGCCCTCAGACCCAGGAAGAACACAGAGGAAGCAGATTTCAGGAGGTCAGGGGAGTGAAATGAGGGGAAAAGGGTGACCTACCTGGGAGATGAGCAGCTGACACGCTGCCAGTTCCCGCTCGCTGGCACTCATCTTCCTGTTGGAGTCCATCTGGGCATTCTCGAGCTGCTTGCTGCGGTTCACCAGGGATTTGACCTCCGACTTCATCTTGCTGATGTACAGGCGGGCCATGGTGAATTCCTCCTCAATGACTCCGTTCACGTCTGCCAACTGAGCACAGGAGGGAATGAACTCAACTATTGCTTACAATTCCCAGAGAGTCATGGGGCCCCGAAAATCTGTCCACGGAGCCTCAAGATGTCTTTGGATTTCTGTTCAGGAATCCCTAATTATAGGACCACAGGCTGAAAATGATAGCTAAATATTACTACATATTCACTATATAAGTATAGCCCACGTTTTCTGAAACTTTGGGTAAGATGGAATTAAAAAACCTCTACTAAATATAATCCTCAATCAGCCAGGTCTTTCATTACAATTAATTTTTAGGATGAAAGCCATGATATGAGAGGGGAAAGACACTGAAGATTAAAAAAGAGATAACTCTGAAAAGGTATTCCTTTCCACATCCAATACCTTACATTTCTAGAATAGTTGCAAGGCCTAGTGTTTCTAAAGGTGACTCTGCGTCCCTATAAGAACTCCAATCAAAATTTCAATTATGTTCTCTATAGTCTGTTATTCAGAGAGAGTAGTCCAATGTCTTGAATATGCTTCTATAAGGAAAGGTTGAAATTAAAAGGATTTTCTATATAGTCTTCAGTTAAGAAAACAAACAAAAATCTAATGAATTAAGAATGTGCCGTTACTGGGCGCCTGGGTGGCTCAGTCGTTAGGTGTCTGCCTTCGGCTCAGGTCATGATCCCAGGGTCCTGGGATCGAGGCCCACATCAGGCTCCCTGCTCACCAGGAAGCCTGCTTCTCCCTCTCCCACTCCCCCTGCTTGTGCTCTCTCTCTCACTGTGTCTCTCTCTGTCAAATAAATAAAAATCTTTAAAAAAAAAAAAAGAATGTGCCGTTACCAAATGCCCTTTTAGGTAAAGATTTTCCTACATGACTTCGTTTATTACCAATCAATATTTCCCTGTCTCTATGTGCCTGCCCCTTCCAAGGAGACAAGAATCTAGCTTATATTATTTAAAATCATCTGAGCGGGGCACCTGAGTGGCTCAGTTGGTTAAGCATCTGACTCTTGGGTTTCAGCTCAGGTGATGATCTCAGGGTCATAGGATGGAGCCCCGCATCGGGCTCTGTGCTCAGCGCAGAATCTCCTTGAGACGCCTTCTCCCTCTTGCTCTGCCCCTCCCCGCTGCTCTCTCTCAAATAAATAAATAAAATTACCTGAGAGTTTAACAGTCTAAATCCACCTTTAGAAAGAAAGATTCTGAAAGCCAGAATTTCTGCATGATCTCATATTGGCATCTGAGTTTCAGAGCTCAAACGGAAACAAAAACTGAAGCAAGATACTTGGGATAGAAACGCATTTGCTCTCAAGATGCAAACATGCTCTTGAAGGTCGATTAATCAGAGGAGCAAAGTAACTGTGTGCATATTTTGTTTAACCACCAGAGGGCAGCCTAGCACCTCAGGAGAACACAAGAGCGCCGTCCAATACCCAGCCCACAAATAGAAGCTTCAATCCGGTCTAAGACCATGATTCCAAATATGGTTTTAATGTTCCACAGTACGTTATAACTGCCCACTTTTGTCATCATTGCTGTCATTAACTCATCATATGATTTTTTTTTTCTGTAAACATTTAAGAGCTAGGAATATGGAATCGTGTATCAACCCTGAAAATTGGTAGCAGATAGGAAGTATACCAGACCACACTGAGTGCCTGTAACTTGGTGTCAACCTTCCCCTAGGATTCCACAACAGTATTCGTGTTAAATGACAACAGTGTCAAATCAACACAAAGCAGAACCTATGTTAACAGCAAGAAAACCTACAGTTTTATTTTAATGGAGGTTCTTGCTGAGCCACTTCTAATTCTGCCTGCCAATAATGAGTTCCCTACCAACACCATTCTTCATCGCATTCCTTCTTACAACCCAATAGCATGAAGAGAACGGGTGAGAAACGCCCCCAATCTTTCAGTGCAGTTTTGTCCTCTGCCTTTGTGATTGGCCCAACGTGGAACAGAGACAAGAAGCTTGTTCTTTAGCCTCCCCTGGTATGTCCTATATATTTGTCTAGCTTCTATAGACAGGTAAGTGAACATTCATCTCTTTCATGTGGAGTTCACAACCTCCCCCCGCTCCTGGTGGGAAACCACCACTGGACCAACAAGTAGGGCATTTGGGGAAGAGAACAAACACCTCCTCCTCTCCAGCTCTGTCTTTAGACAAGGACACTTTGTACGCCATGCCCAGATCCCGTGTGCACTGGGGAAGAGTAGAATAGTACACACAATAATGGGCTTCCTCCAAAATGAAAGCTGGATGTTTTTTCCCCCCCAAACCAGAACCATAACTTCTGGAGCCTACTTGTGTCCTAGGAAATCTAAGAGGAGATTTTGAATCTGATGGGCAACAACAACAAAAAAAGTTACTCCAAATGGTTTTACCCTAAAGGTTTTTTTTGTTTTGTTTTTGTTTTGTTTTGTCTTAACCACTTAAGAGTTCATATATTCAATCATTCAAGTAAATTCAAAGTTTTTAGTAATCCCAGTACACTGTTATTTCAAAAGGGAGAATCAAGTTTGTACCTAACATGTTATTTCTAACTCTCCCCTGGGTCTGACAACGACTCCAGCAGTATACACTAAAGCTGCGTGATCCAGTAGAGCTGACTAATCCAGGAGAAGAGGCTGCTTTTACATGGGCATGCAGGTGCTGCCTGCCCCTCCTACCCTGTCTACCAAGGAGTCACCCCCATCCCTACCCACCCCAGGGCTCAGGAGTATGGAGTTATTGTGTAAGGTGCCATTTCTAGGCCAAGTAAAAGGTAAGTGAGGTGACTGTTCACATTCCAACACCTAAAAGTCAGAATGGGACTAGAAGTCTTTTTTTTTCTTTTTTAATGTGCAGAAATGTCCATTTTCTTTGTCAGTACGGTACAGAGCTAAGTCATGATTTGGTTGTTTCCAAGAGCTTGATAGGCAGGAGGGGACTGGAGAAGCAAGCCTGCCTGGCAGCAAGAGCCTGGCCCCAACAGACCCAAGGCTGTCTGGAAGAGGCTGATAGGAATGGAGCTGTTGATGGTGAGGGTTGATTTCAGGCCCAGAATCTGGAGCAGTTTATCTGCATCTCTGGCCCAGCCACAGAAAGGTCCCTGTGAAAGGCTGCTGGGGCCCAGGGCCCCTCCTCTACCTGAAATTCTTCACCTCCACCTCACCCAGACCCAGAGTCGAAAGAAAATCTGGCAGCTAATCCAATCCATTTCATTAGAGTAAATGAAAATCAGTAGAGTAACCTCAACTTTCTATTCTAGACTTCTGGAAAACTTTGTTTTAAAGAAAGCCTGGTTGGGGCGCCTGGGTGGCTCAGTCAGTTAAGCGTCTGCCTTCGGCTCAGGTCATGATCCCACGGTCCTGGGATCGAGCCCCGCGTTGGGCTCCCTGCTCCGCGGGAAGCCTGCTTCTCCCTCTACCCTTCCCTCCTGCTCGTGCTTTCTCTTTCTCTCTCTCTCAAATAAATAAATAAAATCTTAAAAAAAATAAAAAGAAAGAAAGCCTGGTGACATAGGCAAAAGACAAAAAGAGGAAGCTCACTAATAAATCCAGAGAAAGTGAACTCTAGGCTCATCTCATCACTGGGCGGTCTCATCTTGTTTTGTAGACTAAACAAAGTACTGCCTGGGCTCTGAAAATGTTTTAAGACATGACAGAGCTGGAGAAATATGGGTTCTTTTGTTTCCCTGCTGTCTGGGCATGTTATATTCTGGAAATGAGAGTATTTTTTCCCCTCATCCCAGGAGGCACCGTGTGGGAACTGAATAGGGTTTTAGGAAGAAAAACAAGATCACTGACAAAGGTCTCCCTGATCTGATCATTTTCTTCAATAAAAGAATTCTATCAAGGGCGCCTGGGTGGCTCAGCTGGTTAAGCGACTGCCTTCGGCTCAGGTCATGATCCTGGAGTCCCGGGATCAAGTCCCGCATCGGGCTCCCTGCTCGGCAGGGAGTCTGCTTCTCCTTCTGACCCTCCCCCCTCTCATGTACTCTCTCTCATTCTCGCTCTCTCAAATAAATAAATAAATCTTTAAAAAAAAAAAAAAGAATTCTATCAATTGAGTACTCATAACCAATACTCTATAGCCACAATGTAGATCTAAGAAATATATGTATAACTCATGCAATTTCTGAGCTGACAACCTGCAAGATAATGTGGGCTCATCTTGTCATTGCACAAATCAGGAAAATGAAGCCTGCGAAGTATAGTGAATTGCCCAAAGTCACACAGCTCCTACCCTTTAGCTCTCGTTCCCCTAATGATTAAATCATAACTGTAAAGAAAAAAAACTCAGAGTGATTAAGAATATGATACTCTATGAGTGAGAATTATCAATGAAAATAACTAGTTATCAATGAAATTAACTAAGGCATCCAATGTCTGGAATCCAAAAATATCTTGAAAACATCCAGCTAAGTACTTAAAAATGATCTCAATCATACTTCAGATTCCCAAAGGTAAAGACTCTTTTTTTAATGCCGAAGCACCCAGACACTCCTTGATTTCATTAGCATTTCTCATCAGCTCTATTTTAGAACATAGCATAAAAATATCTCCCTTTATCGTTATCAGCAGCAGGCACCAACTTCTCATAAATCAGCTCCACCTTCATATTGCATGGGCCACTTAATCACCCAAACCTCAGAAGTGCAACACCAATCCATGCTTCTAAAAATTAAATCCCCAAACATAAAGCCACCAAACTGGAGCTGAATAGGGTTAATCTTATAGTATCTGAGAATTCTGTGCTAAAATTAGATTCATTCGCAAAGATTCATGAAATATTCAGTTACAATAGAGGTTCTATGCAAGAATGATTAGGTTTACAAGAGGTCGTATACTCTAAGCCTAGATCTGTGATATCATCAAAGAAGGGATTTCTATGTTTCCCAGAAGTGTCTATAAACAGAAGGAATTGGGGGGCGTTTTCTAGTATTTAACAATCCCAGCTCAAAACCTGAGTGTTCCCACAAAGCAGACTGATGTAGAACTCAGCCTTTTAAAAGGCTAACCTCAAAGAGTTTGATTTCAGGGGCTCTGGAAGCGGCAGCCGAGCAATGTAATACCATTCCTTGGCTTGCCAAAATCCGCCCCATGCATCAGTGGTTACACTGTACCTGGGGCGGTGTTATTGTTACAAAGCTACAGGAATCAAAACGGTGTGGTTTTAGCGTAACAATTAGATCAATAAAATAGACTAGAGACCAGAAACAGTCCCAAACACCGTTGAGGGTGATGGATATGGATACGTTCATTATCTTACCGTGGTAATGGTTTTATGAGAGTATAATATATCAAAACTTTTCAGACTATACCCTTATAAAGCTATTTTAAAAAAATCTCCATCTTAGATCTCTCTCTCTCCATGCTGCAGCTAACTGATAATTGTTCTTGGCTGATGACATTCTGTGCGCGCCCTTGTCCCTCTGTTCCTAGCTCACGGACAATTTCATACCCCCCCCTTCTCCCCACCTCCCTTACTTCCTTGCTGTCAGTGGTACCAATGTGCACAACTCCAGGGACTTAATCACGGTTGGCTGAAGCCAATGAGAGCAGTACTATTTTCTTTGCTTTCCCGTTTTCTCTTGCAATTTGGGGTGACCATAGGACCCAATGCTGGCTAATAAGGTATAAGGGGACATCTACTAGGAACTTATGGGATATAGTTCCCTCCTGATGAGAGCTGGCTGCCCCTTCAGCCCATCCTGCCTTGGATGTGGCTGTGTGAAGAGAAGACGGTTGATGCTATAGTGGCTGTCCTGTTATATCATGACACAAACGTCTGCAGATGTCAAAAGGTGACAAGCTAACGAAAGCAGAAAGGAAAGAAAGAAAAGGCCTGAATCCTTGACATTGTTGAGACACTGGATCAAAATTTGCTTCTGAAACTTGAATAAGGTTAGACTGACCCGGGCAAACTTGTTAAAATGCAGATTCTAATTTCAGTAGGTCTGCAGTGGCCAAGAGTCTATAGTTCCAACAAACTCCCAGGTGATACAGATCACAACCTGAATAGCAAATTCCCCACAAAATTCTCATACTGTGAATAATTAAATGTGGATTTATTTTTTAAGCCACTGTTAGAATCCTATTACTTTCAGCTGAAAGCTTTTCTAATTCATACTGATTGGCTAGGGAATTTTCATTCTGTTGAGTTTTCACAGAAAAGGAGAAACACAGTTCTGAGACTGGAAGTGTTGCTTAACCTATCCAATTCCAAACTCCTGTGACATTAGCATATAAGTTTGAGAAATAATCCGATGTGTATAAGGCCTACCAAAATTTGAAGACATTTCCTATATGTGAAAGGTAATTTTTTCTCCTCCGCGGTACCCAGCCAATCATTCACTTAGTCATTCAATCAGCCCTTGGTTTGTCCATTCCAGTATTACCAAGCATGCGGCAGGTGCAAAGTGCTACGCTGAGCACTGGATACTTAGGAGAATAAAACACAGATCCTGCTTGTTTAGGATCACACCATTATAGGAGCAGGTAGAGAGGATAAGAGAGGGGCTGGCTTACAGTCTTCACATCATTGGTGCCGATAATTCCACCTATCTCCCCCAGATCCTTCAACAGCAAATTCAGGATCTCAGTAGCCCTCTTTTTCTGGTGGTTGCTAAGCTCTTGTAGCTGGCTCAGCTCCCTCTGTGTGGTTGTCAGTGTCGTCTGAAAAACACATTTTAACAGCAAATTAAAAGAGCTGCCCATCAATTCATACCCACTGCATTGCAAAGAATAAGAACATAATGTAGGATGGAGTTTTTTTACCATTTCATGCAATTTCAACAAAAGAGTCCTATTAAGTCAAACTAGAGTATAGCACCGCCTTCTTTGATAAAAAGGAGAATCTGACCTGGCCTGATATGTTATGTCTACATATCACATGACAATTTGCAGGTCAGTGAAATTATTAGAATTAAAAATACATTATATAAAATATATTAAAAATAGAGTCCAAAAGGAGCCCTCAGGCTGATAAGGTGTGATTGTGTCTTCCTACCCACGAGATGTTCTGTTTCAGGCCTCATTCTCCAGGGTCCAAACACACCTGCAAGCATCCCCACCTCCACATCCAAACAAACCTGCTCCCTGGACCATTTCCAGAAATTCCCATCTGATTTCATAATAGACGGGTCAGGAAGGCCCAGAGAGACATTCTTGAGTTTAGAAAACAACTAAAAAGTTTTCGCATCTTCCCAATGAAGCTGAATTGAACACTCTTCATCTCTTCTCAAAACTGGCCGAGTCTTCATCTTAGTGTAGAGCAGTAGCTCCATTTTACTGCCAAACATCAACAACCCATCTCTTTTCCATCCCTCATGTATGTAGATATTTAGAACTAACTAACTTAACGAATCTCCACATCACCAGAATAGCCATATTTTGGCGTCTTGGTACTAACTCGGCCAACAAAGAAAATAATTTCGCTAAATTACAGAGCTATGGAGCTTAATGCAAATTATGCAAGTCTGCCATACTCGGTTATTATACTAGGGCATTTTTTCAGGATCTGACTAAAAATAGTACTCTAAACCAGTCTAGTAATCCTTGGGCTTGGCAGAAAATAAGAACTGTATTATGGAAAATGCTTCATTGTTTTGAGATACAACTAATATGAAGGACTCATTAAAGAACCCTGCAGAAAACAGTAAGCAGAGAAAATCGAAGTCTCCTCCTTTCCTAGGTGACTTCTGGTTTGTTTTCCTGCTTCTTTTTGGTTTGGTTTTGGCATTGCCACTGCTTATTTCATTCAGTGTTTAAAGGCCACAGAAGCAGTAGTTCCCATCTTGGGAAGCCATTTATAAAAAGCCTTCCTTCGTGCAGTTGCATACACAGAATTAGGAGCATTTCCCGTCAGCTCTACGGTCAGCAGATTAGCGCTTTCCTGCACCATCTGCTTCTCCTTGCCCAGGAGGACTGGATGTTTTCCACCCAGCAGGCTGGGCACAATCCCATGATACCAGGCCATTGGGCCAAAGTGCCAAGGGCAGCCAGTTACAGCCACTCAGCTTCCCACCACCCGTTTTCCAAGCAGAAAGGACAAAATGGAAACATCCCACAGCCAGCCACCTCACCGAATGCTCGCTGGCCCTGCTGCTAGCTCACTGTGCACAACCTGCATCCTTCCCCAGGAGAATCTGAAAATTAGGAAATGGGCAGACTGAAGCACCGGCTTAAAACAGGCCAACAAACCAACCAGGACCGTCAGGCCTCGGCTAGGACAGGAAGTTGTGGGGAAGGAATGGGTTTATCCAGGAGGGTGTAAACAAGAAGGGGAATCCATACCTTCCATGGGTCACTCACACTCACTTGGTACTCTAATATCTGCGATGTACTTACTAGCATTGCAGCATATGCACGGGCCTTCACTAAGTGCTTTGTATCAATGGTCTCTGATGCTCACGTACTGAAAGGAGCCTTTTATTAATGCCATTAGTTACAGATAAGGGAATGAATACTTACAAAGTTTAAATGTCTCAACTAAGGCCTCACAGTTGTAAAGTCACCATGTTAACTAGGCTTTTTGTGGCTCCAAAGTCTGCACTCCCTTGACAATTCACAAGGCATCCCTGCTAACGTTATAAAATCCCCGGATATAAAACAATCCTCAGTTCCGGAATGAGTAGACAAAAGTCACCTACATGGAGTACTTCAATTATTGGAAGATTTCAGAGAATGCCTCTAACACTGAAAAACCACTCTGCCAACTGCGTCCCTACATAGTGTCTGTCAACAGACATCAACATTAAGTACAGGAGTGGCAGCCGAAAGTCCCATCCCCTAGACGCATATGCTCCAACCGTTTTCTGGGCCAGCTCATCAGTCAGCTGCTCATTGGCCCTGGTCTTGTCCTCCACTTCCTGAGACTTCTGGTCATAATTGACAGCCAGCTCTTCTAGGGCCTGGAGAACTTCCTTCACTTCATCCTTGGCTGCCTCATTCTCAATCTGGAGACGTGTCAGCTCTTCCTGGATCTTCTCATAGTCTCTTCTCGTGGAAGCCAAAAGCTGGGGAAATGAGATGGTATGGAACTGGTAAACGTAATGTTGAAGGGTTTCTGGGCTGTGCTCTATCCAAAATAAAGTAATTTTAAAAAGAGACTGGGGTGGGGGGGCGCCTGGGTGGCTCCGTCGGTGAAGTGTCGACTCTTGATTTTGGCTCAGGGTCATGATATTGAGCCCTGTTGGGATCCACGCTGAGCATGGAGCCTGCTTGAGATTCCCTCTCACCCTTTGCCCTCTCCCGCCCCCACTCACACACTCACTCTCAAAACAAAGTAGATATAGGATGCTCAGGATGACTAGGAATTCTGCTGTATATCTAGATAATAAAAAAAAATAGCATTGAGGCTTCAAAAATCTGTTTCTTTTTCTTTCAGGTTTTTTTATTTTATTTTTTTATTTTTTTAATTTATTTTTTAGTTTAAAGCTGCATAGGCTGAACTCAAAGAATTGATTACACATCAAAAATCCCTACAGTCAGTAGCTGCTGGCTCTTCCAAATGCTGAACAAAGAATGAAGGGAGTCATCTCTGAGGACGATAATACTTGCATGGCTTGTTAACATTATCATTATTCCACATGGTAAACAGGCCAATTTCAGAGTCAACCAAAACAGCATAAAAGGACAACTGTCAGTTTTTCTTAATATTCATCGTGAATGTATAGAAGGATATATCCCAAACATTAACATTAGTTAAAAGTGAATGAGTAGGCTTGTGGATGCTTTCATTATCTTTGTGCCTATTGTATGTTCTGATTTTCCTATATAGAACAGATACTGCCTTGGCAGTATAGAAAAAAAATTCTGCGTTTTAAATGTTACACAAAGTAAGTTTATCATAGGCAGTTGTACCAAGTTAGAGATGCAAAGGAATAGAATGGGAGGAAGAAGGCAGGAAACACTAAGCAGATGGAAGACCCAACCAAAGCTAAGAGAAAAATCAATTTTAAATGACTGATCTGATTGCAAAGGCATAGATGATCTCCCTGCCAAGGGAAAGTGTTTGGACAGGGGGCATAATCATTGCCCTGGAGCAATGAAGGGAAAAAAAGAAAAAGAAGAAGAAAAGAAAGGCATGGCTGTAGAGAGAATTAGGTCTATGGGAAGGCTGGGACTGAGGTCATGAACCCAAGCCACCTGCTAGAATTGTATCAGGTGATCCAATCCATAGCATTTTAGCAACAAAGCAGAAAGCACCCTAAAGCATAAAAGAGAAAAAATACTTTGATGGTCCTCAGCAAGAGAAGCACTAATCATCTATGTTTGACAGATTGGCTATCTATCCCTTGCTTAGGTTCCTGTTTGTAAAATACTTAGCAGAACACAACACAATAAAGACATTCACTGGAGAACTGAATGCTATCCAGGGAAAGACTGAAAACAATTTGCCTCCTTTTTACTGTATCAAACACATACTAGTTAAGCACTTAGGCACCTTTCCTCTTTGCTTGCCCCTCCCCTCCATCTCTACTTTTGTTTTTTGTGGGTTTTTTTTTTTTGGTTTTTTACTTCCTACAAGATAACACGAGAACACAGTGTACATCAAAGACCTGAGCCGGCTGATTTCAAAGCTGAAAAAAACTAAAACAGCAAGCAACAGGAGTGCTGGGCACTGGGTATGAGGAATTAGAATCACCCTTGCCCAACCACCAAACTCCTTTATCTCTGCTCTTCAAAGACTAACTGTAGCACCCAGCTACTCACTCTCAAAAACCTCAGAACTCTACGAAGTCAGACATTTATTTTCCAAAATCAGCTTTTAACAGGCACTGAAAGGAAATCTACCAAGAAATGTCCACATGATTCAATGATTTTTGAAAAAATTCTTTGCAAATTAAATTTCTGGAACAAACATCAAAAACAAAGAGTAATAAGAGAACTTCATAAAAAAAATTTATTGCATTCTTTACCTCGTCCTGATCCAACATCTGCTGCTTTAGCTTTTCAGCCAGCTGGCTCTGCTGGTTAATTTCATCATCCTGAAACGAAACATCATGTTTAATGTTTTTGGGTTAGTTATGTCATTTTTGATATCCTGGTTTTCCGACGACACTCGGATACCAGGGTCTCAGCTGTAAGCTTGTTAATAAGATGAAGGGAATGGTGAGGTGCTTCCCCATAGATGAGAGACTGGCTCTGGGATCTTGATTTGGTTAAAATACCTCTGCGCCCATCTTTCTCAGCAGGTGAAACATCTGGGTATTCTGGGATATATAATATCCTACACATTCAACTCAACTCCTGTTCATCCAGAAATCAGAGATCTAGGGTTTGGGAATCAAAAGGGACTTTGGAGCTATCCCTCCCAATTCAAAGACACTAACAAAAAATAAGGCAGTGAACTTCTACCATCTGCACTATAATATATTCATATTCCAAATCTCGTCAAACACATCAATGACCAGGAATGCTGCCACGAGATCAGTAGGAGCGACCCATATTTCCACCTCAAATCTCTTACTTAGAGAGATGGGAAAACATTCACTAGAGAATTAATCTTCAGCATGAGCAGATCTCCCTCTTGATTAGAAGTTAATTTTCTTGGGCGCCTGGGTGGCTCAGTCGTTAAGTGTCTGCCTTCGGCTCGGGTCATGATCCCAGGGTCCTGGGATTGAGTCCCGCATCGGGCTCCATGCTCGGCGGGAAGCCTGCTTCTCCCTCTCCCTCTCCCCCTGCTTGTGTTCCCTCTCTCTCTCTGTGTCTCTCTCTGTCAAATGAATAAATAAAAAAAATCTTTAAAAAAATTAAAAAGAAGTTAATTTTCTTGCCAGTCTAAAAAAACAAAACAAAACTCTAGGAAGTGGGGGAAAGTAATGCTTACTTTCTGGCCTATCATTAAAGTGGGAAATGATCTCCCCAAAGGCAATTTGCTTCCCTCACTCTCATTTCCTGCCACTAGGTGTTGCTGCCACAAAAGCCAGAGCGCCCGCCTCCCCCGCCTCCCCCGCCTCACGGGCCGGTGCTAAGGCGTGTGCCTCTCCCCGGGCGCGCCGTCCACCCAGCCTGGGCAAAGCAGCAGGCAGACAACATTTCACCACGGGGGGCTCGGCCTTCCCTACAAAGATTTTCATGAATTCAAATGCAAATGTGAAGCCTAGCCAGCGAAGAACAACTTGGCTTCACGTGTACCCTCCTTTAAAAACAGGAGAAAATCCTATTTGATAACACTTCTAGGCTCTAAACCCAAGCAGAGTCAGATTCAGTATTTGGGGTCCTTCTCTGTGCCGCCAGGTGTTCTCAGGGCAGCCCAGAAAAATTCTGCACCGCACCTTTTGGCTTTTCCAGAGGTGAGGTTACGGGGGTGGACTCAAGGGTCTCTCCTGGGTCGCAGAAGCCCGGTTGTCCATGGGATGGATATTCCCTAGCCTATCTGGTCGTGTCTATGCATATATTTACATTGGACTGACTCAGTGTCACAGTGAATGCTTTCCGTGAAGCAAGAAAATCCCAAAATCAGGATTACAGGACTGTATCTCATTTTCCCTTGTGTAGAACATCTTTGGGCCTTATTTCTCTGTTTGGGGAGCCCTGTTTCTACCTGAACTTTTCACACCCATGTTTCTTTAATGGTTCAGTAAAATGCTCATGACTTTCCTCCCCAAATCCGATTTCTGGCGGGAGAATTAGGGAAATTACACCAGAGTGAAGCTGCCAAAAAATGGTACTTGCACAACTAGGAGACTATTTCCTCTTCTACTTTATAAACTTAGAATGTCAGTTACCAGGAACAATTTTGTGTTTATGTTCCTTGGCATATAAATATTAAACAACTTAACATAAAAGACTCAAGGAGTTTAACATCAGGGAGCTACCATCCCTTCCCCTGGGATACGTAAGCAAGGGCTACAAGTGATAGAAATCAGGAGAGCAGCAGAACAGTGAAGCCAGCCCTTTGTTCTTAGACTGTGTTCACTTCAAAGCCTGAAAATGTAGGCTTCCTCCCTGACAGGTGAAAAGCCAGGTGCAAAGATTTTTGAGGTACAGCAAGAAACCAAGGGCCACCAGTCCATCTGGGAAGGATGTGAGGAAACAAGGATTACACTGTAAGAACATGAATCACTTGTACCAGAGACCCCTCCAAGACTGCACTTACCCTTTATTAAGGCAACTTCTCCAAGGAATTAGCAGAGTCTACCATAATCTTTAAATTTTTTTCAAAACTTCCAGAATAAAATGTGCTGTGTAGTCTATATCCATACATTCAAGTGCATTTCTTAGAACATGCTCACTCTGATGCTGACTCTTAAGACCTAGTCCATATATAACAGATCTCAAAGCACTTTTCAGAAAATATTCTTGGGGCGCCTGGGTGGCTCAGTCGTTAAGCATCTGCCTTCGGCTCAGGTCATGATCCCAGGGCCCTGGGATCGAGCCCCGCATCGGGCTCCC